CTCTTTTCCCCATCTCCTGTGATTGGACACGCCCGACCTGATTCCACGTCACCGTGCCGTTCCCTCGCATTCCCTCAGTGGAGGGGAATTCCTTAGCGTCTCCCTGAATGTCTTCCACCTTGTATCCCCGCTTCCTCATGTCGTCGACCGCCTCCTGCGCGCTGCCATACGTCTTCACTCCGTTTTCCCAGTATACTCGTAGTCTGTGAAGGGGAGTTTGGAACCGAATCTTCTCTCCTTTCAGTAATTTCTTAATAGGTGTATAAGCTTTCCGCTTCTTTAGTGTCTTTGCCGTGTAGTCATGGTCAAAATAAATTCTATCGGTTCCAAACATCACCGTTTTCTTCTCCCATGCTTTTTGTAATATTAGTTCTTTCATGGTGTACTGTTGGAAGCTAATGACAATTGAACGTGGCGGCCGACCTGTTTTCGGTTTCGGTGCCAGGGCTCTGTGAGCGCGCTGAATCTGCAGGTCAGAGTCTATCTTAAACTCCTTACGGAGCCATTCCTCCATCAACTTTGTCATCGTGTTGTCTCGCGATTCCGCGTCTTCCTTCACACCATAAACCCGTAGGTTATTTCTCCTAGATCTAGCCTCCAAGTCATCCATCTGTTCCAATAATTCCCCACGTTCTTTCAGTAAATTCTGCAGCATACAGTTAGCATCAGAGCCCCATTGTTCCATCTCCTCTATTCGTGTTAGAGCCGCGTCCAATTTCTCCTTTTGTTCTCCCATTTCTGCAGTTATTTTTACAAATTTGCAGTCGATGTCATTTTTAAGTTCAGTCAATTCATCTCCCAATCTGGATGTAATTTCTTCCTTGACTGATCTTAGATCGGCTTTCAACACAGATTGCATTACTTGAATCTGACTGCTAATGCTAGCTAGGCTAGTCTGGGACGCCATTTCTTCATTAGCTTCTTTTGTTAGCATCTTTTTGTCTTCACGGTTTGTTCCTTTACCTGAATTTTCCGGTTGCTTTCTAGTCGTCACCCTAGTTGTTCCTCCGCTCATAATGAGTTTTTATTTTTTTTATTTTTAATTACTCAGCGCAATTTACTCGAGTTTTAGCGGAGTTTTAAAGTTGGCACGAGGGAGTTCTTAGATTAGCCGTCCATGTTGTTCCACAGCGCCGGAAGTCTCTTATAATAAATTTTAATATTTTTTTCCCCAGAATGGTAGCTTGTGGATCATTGCGGAAGCGAATATGCACTTTGTTTTCCATATAATGTATCAATTTTTTATATGTTGTTATGGGTGCTTTTTCCTGGAAAATGTTTAAAATATATACCTCATTGCACACAGGATTACTCTGGAATATTTTAGCGTACAATTTTGTGACTTGGATGACCATACAGATCAAATAAGTTCTCTCAATTGCGCAGTTCGTGTTTGCTGGGTTCTAAGGTTTAAGAAACAGATGAATATTAAGCTGTTGTGATAAATATTGAGGCATTCTGATGAGTGGTCCTTTATGTCTGAGACTGAGTAAAAATAAAATCGAGTCGGAGATGAAACCAAGACTACAAAAAACGTCCCGTCTCAAGTAGTACTAATGTACCTACAAAGTTTGGAAAAGATTGGACAATTTTTTTATCATTCTGACAAAATTACAGGCTTTGTCTTTGCTATTGCTCTGCAGTGCTGCTTCAGTTTTGGTGCAGTTTGTGTCAACATTTTATCAGGTGCATTTCCTCACCCTTACAATATGTCTGTAAAGTTATCACACCAATAGGATCAAATGTCTAAGCTAGCCTTCTCTTTGCTATCAATTTTGGAGCAATCTGTCTCATGATATAACGTTCAGTTTTGCACCCCCACAATATGCCTGCAATATTTGAAAAAGATTTATAAACTACTTTTAGAGTTATTGTATTCATAAGGCCAAGTGTCTTCTACAGCTGCTGTTTCCTTCCTTTGCTGCCACACAGCACTGTTGCTTAATTTTTGGGGCAATTTGTTTGAAAATTAAACCAGATGTAGATCTTTGTCTTAAAACATGATTTTATGAAGTAGTAGTAATATGCATCCAAAACATCACATTTTGACTTTCACATTCACAAGGTCAAACTTCATTTGCTTTCACTGTTCCCTTTGGTGCCACTAAGTAGCATTGCTTCAATTTTGTCTCAAAACAACAAACAAACAAATTTATTTATTAACCTTGGGAGGGACCAGACTCAAAGGGGGAGCCCATCCTCCAGGGGCCGGCAGGGAGAGTCAAATACAGTTAAATCTGAAACACAAACGGGGAGCAGGGGGGAGATGACAAGCCGGTGCCACCGCTCCCTCCAATCGCCAGGCAGTCAGAAGGCAGGGAGCGTTTCATACAAGGAAGATGACACAGGCAGAACGGCGAGCTGGATGCACGGACGTCATTGGTAGTGGCGACGTCACATGTTGCAGGGTGTGCTGGACATATTGATAGATTGAGGTCTCCAGGCAGCTCCCCCCAGGAGAAGTAGGGGAAATAAATGCAATTAGTCAAAGTAGGGGAGACTATAGGCAGTGCTATAAGGTAGTTGAGTGAAATATGAAGTGCAAATATCAAAATGTAATACTTTTCAGTGCAGCACCCATTCAGTGCTTCTGCAAAGTTTGAGATCAAATGATAGATAAAAACCTTTTTGAGTTATCATCTTATTGGTATTAAGTCTCAACTCTGCCCTTTATTTGCTATCAATATGCAGCACTTCTTCAATTTTGGTACAATCTGGCTCAAAATATAATAATTTCTAGTTCCCCATAAAATACCTCTGAAAAAGATCCATGAAACAAGCAAAGCATCTGCAGTGCCAGCATATTGATGCCAAAACCAGATGTCCATTATTGTTTTCTATTGTTTACTAATTGGAACTAACCATTCTGGTAACACTGGGATTGCCGCAAAAATAAATATTGAATCTACAGTGCACTGTTGAGTACTGCATCACTTTTCTCAGAGTGCTTCGCTCTGTCAGATGTAGGGCCCTCTTTATAGCATACGATCAGTGCTTTATCAGAGTCCATGGGTTCATGGCTCATGCTACCAACTGTACAAGGCAAGAAATTCAAGCTATAAAACAAAACCAGATTTGACTTGTTATGACCATCTATCGAGGCCAAAGTTCCTTCAGGAGTAGCACTGTGCCTACTGGTGAACAACCAGAACATCATGATAAAACGCTCTGGGCCATTAGCCGTTCTGTATGAACGACACTGCCACAGCCATTTCTCACTTGTACAACCTAATGACTGTGAACTTCTGTCAGCTGAGGTCATGGCAGGAAAATACACTCAGTGACAAAACAGTTAAGCACCCATTTGGTGTGGTGGAAATGAAATGAATCCGCACCTGGTAAAATGTCATGTAACTCTATCACAAGGATTATGATATCATATCGAATGGACAACAGAGTTAGCAGTATGGTGTTACAGTCCCCAGTCTAGGGTTGGGGATCGTCAGAAAAGAAAGGGTAAGGGGAACATGAGATACCAGGGAACAGGAAAAGGGAACACGAGACACAAAGGGATCTTTTTTTTGTATTTTATTTACAGACACTTCACAGACAGTAGGTGCAGAAAAAGCAAAGCCGGCATCCAACTGCTGTAACTGGCCCTCAAGGCCCTGCAAATTGACACTGGGTCTGAGTTGACATCCGAGCTGATCCCACATACGTTTGATTGGGGAAAGATCGGGGAACCTGGCTGGCTATGGGAGGACCTCAACATGATGCAGGCAATCCATTGACACACGTGCCATGTGTAGACGGGCATTGTCATGTTGAAGGACTGTACCAGGATGCTGTCTCAGGAGGGGTAAGACATGCAGACGGAGGATGTCACTGACATAATGCTGTGCCGTCAGGGTCCCCCGAATCACTACCAGAGATGACCTGAAGTCATACCCTATAGCTCCCCACACCATGAAGCCAGGAGTAACCCCCAGTGTATTTCTCCACAACATCGGCATGATTGGTCCTTAATTCTCTGCGCCGTCATCCGCACACACAACAGCTGTCCGTGGTAATGTAGAACTGAGATTCATCGCTGATCATGGTACAACACCACTCATCATCCGTCCATGCCTCCCGGTTATGGCACCACTTCAAACACAGCCGTCTCTGCGCTGGTGTTAACGGCCGCCTATGCATGGGACGGTGAACCCGTAGTACAGCTGATGCCAGTCATTGAAACATGGTGCGGGATAACACTGGGTGTTGTACAGAGTCCAATACCTGTGTCTGGGTGGCAGATGTCACGGGGTTCTGTAATGCTTGGCGCAAAATACACCGATCTATCTTGGGCGAATGGAACCTTCACGACCCAAAGATCAAACACTTTCACACAATACAGACAGTCTGTATGTAAGCACATATAAATAGCTGCATACACACTTTCAGATGATTACTTGCATATGATCTCGAACTTGGGGGGTAGAGGATACCTCTAACAAGTGCTGCCACTGAAAGCATATTCATCAGAGATTCAATGCAGTTTAAGCAAAGTGCATGTTAATGCTTAAATAGTGCAACACAGCCAGACTTGAAACAATGGAAAACCTTACAGTAAATGCAGAGAGCAGTGTGACTGTTTGCATGGCATGTAAAATCACGCATCGAAATACTAACTCAGATCTCCAATAGGAAAACCTTCAGCCTGCCCTACATCTATCCCTGCAGCTCTTTTATCAGCCAAGGGTTGAGAACACTCAGATAAGAAGGCTGATCATTAACAAGCAGCTGGCCCTTTGCAGCCTTATCAGTGGCCCCCTCGGTGTTATTAATGGCAACAAGGTGACCCAAAGCAGTGCAGTCTTCCCAGACATATGAGAGGAAATCAGCCAGCTTGATCTAAAGCAGACACTGGGAGGTAAGTGGGGTCCCATTAACACCAGTTTTATGCACTTTATTCACTGAGGCAGTCTCGGTCCTTTGCATTTGCTCAGTGAAAGCACGTCTTGAATATGAGATGCGCTTGGTACCATTGCAGTTTATTTAACACCACTACCTGCTGTCCTTTTAGTCAGTGAGTCTGCCTCAGGGAGTCTCGCAGTTGTTTGTTGGTTGGTTAAATGATAAAGCTTCAACTTTTTTTTTTATTATTTTGCTCACTGAATGAGAAAGAAGTTCATAGACACAAAGTATCTGGTTTTTCTATTTAGCAGCAAGCAGCTAAAATTGCCATCACTGTCTGAAAAATAATAGAATCAGGATGAAATTACAGTTACACAGGATCAAAAGAGACAGATCCGCAACAAGGCTTTACAGATCAGGAAGAGGGACAGAAGCAGCTGTACCACGAGTACAGACAGGTACTGAGGTTTAAAGTGAAAGAGAGGGAGAAATGATTATGTGGGTATTTTCATCAGAAATGAGGCAAATAGCAATGGCAAAAACAGCCAAATGAGTCAAATTGAAGAAGCAACACGAGAGCATCCGTTAAATGAGCCGATCAATTCAGCTGTAAATAAGTTTCAGCTGTATACTGAGAACTGCCCTGTTTTCACACACAAAAAGTCAGACAGATATACAGACAGAGACTGAGAAGGGTAAGCAGAAGAGTTATTCAGTTATGCAAAGCATTACTTCTGCTGAATCAGCAACTGTGTCAACCTGTGTCAACAGAATGGTACAGCTGAATCAACCTGCAGTTATTGTGTGAAATGTCTAAGATGTCAAAAAGAAAAGTTGCTATTGAAAGGAAGAGCGACAGGGAGATGGGACCCTCTTATTGTTGTCTCTGATCCTTTCTCTGTCTCATCAATCTATACCTCACTTGCACTCTTTAAGAGTCATCTTTCATCAGGATTAATATTTCCGGTAATGGCTCAGTTAACCCAGGAGAGTTAATAATTCATAATAATAATTCAGACAAAGCAATAATTCCAGTTCAGTTGAGCAAGACCAACCTGTAGGAAAGATAAAGAATTTGAAGCTGGTTTATTCTGATTTAGTCAAATAACCATTCAAGCTATTAGCAAACCATACTCTGCGATCCTGTGGCAAAAAGGTGATGGCTTCTCGCTGCTCAGAGCAGATTGCAATCCCGCTCTCTGTTTCAAAACCAGAGGCGGAGGAATATGTTTTTATATAAATCAGAAATGGTGCAGTGATGTGTCTGTCTTAAAAATAACATGTTCCCCATACCTGGAAAGTTTCATCATTAACAGCAAGCCTTTCTACTCTCCCCATGAACTTGCGTCTATTGTATTGACGGGGGGGGGGTGCAGTGGTGCCTTACACCTCTGGGACCCGGGTTCAAACCTCTGCCTGGGTCACATGTGTGTGGAGTTTGCATGTTCTCCCCCATGTCATCATGGGGTTTCCTCCAGGTACTCTAGTTTCCCCCCAGAGACATGCTGAGGCTAACTGGAGTAACTAAATTGCTCATAGGTGTGAATGGTATGTAAGTGTGCCCTGCGATGGGCTGGCCCCCCATCCTGTGTTGTTCCCCACCTCATGCCCATAGCTTCTGGGATTTGCTCCAGGCCCTCCATTTGAGCAGAAACACCCAGATTCTCCAGTAATCATCCTTGGATTCTTCAAACACACTAATTTGACTGAGGAACTGCAAAGGTAAACACAGTCCTACCAGGAAAGGCAAAACTCTGGGCCACTGTTATAGCACTATTAAAACCAGAGAAATATCCATGCCCCACTGGACCACTTTCTCATCCACATACAAAAGCTCAAAACTACAAAACCCAAAATCAAACTGGTGAAAACCTGGACCATTGCAGCCACAGATGCTCTGAAGGACTGCTTAGACTCCATTGACTGGGACATATTTAACCTCTGGAGACTTGGGGTAGGGCAGTGGTTCCCAAACTGGGGGGCACAGAGGTATTGCGGAAGAGGGCGCACCAATGGGATAGCCTCAGGGGCATGTGCCACCTTAAAATAATCTCTTCACAGACTGGACGATTAAACAAATAAAGCAGTGCAACATTACAGTAACTAACAATAAATAAACCACTAACTTACGTGTACTATTAGAGCATTTATGTAATTTATTTAAACTTTATTTTACCAGGTAAATTAACTGAAAAACAGTTCTCACCGCTTTACGTGATATTCGGGAGAAATAGCAGATAAAGCATCGGAACTTCCTGGGATACAAAGGTCACGTTCTTCAGCCAATAAGGGCAAAGTTGTGTCGTCACGGAGGCTGTTCCAGTTTGTTCAGCCGGCTGAGGAAAAGGGTCTGGCTGCAGATCTCCACCAGGAGGACTCCACTAGAGGGACAGAAACACGTGACCCCACAAGCGAATCCGAACATGACATTATGCAAACATGCATGGAGGTGGTACCAGATATCACATAATCGTCACACACAGCCCGGACTTTAACTTTACCGAACAGAAATCGAGTCTTTTAAAGTATATACTTATTATTTTGGTGATCGATTTAAATTATATTATTAACATTGGAAACGGACGTTAATAATGTATTTTAATTCTACAAGAAGGCATGTGTTATTTTTATTATTTCGGTACGTGTGAAATTCTCACTTTAATACACCGAAGTCCCATAGGGTGATTTTTTTTTTATTGTGAGGCAGAAGTTATTTTCTTGTACTCACAAATTATTCTGTGCGCACAAGATAATTACTCTGTGTTTGAGGCCGAGAGTAATATGACAACTATGTCTACCAAAATTATGTCTCGACGTCTAAACAAATCAGACTGGAGAGACATTTATTTACAGTCAACAAGTAACAGCATGAACTCATTTTCCATTTTTTTTTCTGCTGCAAACTGTTTCTTTGGCATTAAGGGTGAATTATACAGTCCGTGTTTACGGTCGCGACAGAGGTGAAGCGACATGAATTCATGCGACATGACAATATTTTTCCTTCGGTCATTATCGTTAATCATAATACACTATGATAAACAGGTACAGTAAATACAATAAATAGGTATCAGTAATATCAAAAAATGTTACTTAAACTCGGTGAGGTGAACAAATCAGCAAACCAATTAAAGTAGAAAACATAATCTGTTTTAACGCAACCGAACAAAACATCAGTGTCAATATTAGTAGGCATAACCCTATATTTCGTCAATTTGCGAATCATATTCAAATAATCAAAAGTACTACATAATAACTTATATAATTTGGTTACAATTTATTGCACGCAGGCTATATTTTGTGCATCTTTAATATTGTTGACACCGATGTTTGGTTCGGTTGCGTCAAGACATAGCCTATACTATGTTTACCACTTTACTCGGTTTATTGATTTGTTCGCCTCACCAAGTTCCCCTAACATTTCTTGTCATTACTGACACCTATTTATTGTATTTATTTTACTTGTTTATACCTGTTTTATTATTGACTACCGATAATGAAAGAAAAAAATATTGTTCATATCGCTTCACCTCTGTCACGACCATTCATACGGACTGTATACCTCAGCCTTAATGTCAAAGTAGTACGCGGCAGCGTTGTATTTACTCCTTCCAGTAATATTAATTACAAGGCTGTTGTATCTTACTGTACCCTAATGCCAGGTCTAGCAAACGTAGTACGGCGTCCTGAAATAAACCTAGCTAATCTATTCCTTCCAAATAATAACTTGTGCGCACAAGACAAATATTTATACATTTATTTATAATTTTATAAATATTTTTTCTTTTTCAGTAGACAGTCAGTCTTAGCTTAAGTAACCAATTTAAAGCTAAATTTGGAGAGAAAAAATCAACGCTCGAAAGCTACCATTGTTGCTTGTTCTACCCACTTCTTTCTTTCGACAAAGCTAAACACCCTCCCACTGACAAATCCAGGCTGTGGAGATCATGTGATATCTGGTACTGCCTCCATGACGTAAGTTTGCATAACGTCATGTCCGGACTCACTTGTGGAGTTCACGTGTTTCTGTCCCTGTAGTGGAGTCCTCCCTTGCGGCTAATGCTACTGTCACTGTCACTACCGAAAATGTGAGAAGGGTCCAGCTGCAGACGCCTGTAGAGTGGAGCTCCACCGGAAATACGTCATCTCCACATGAAATACGTGATTTTAAGGGGCGTAAAGTGGAGCTCCACCGGAAACACGTGACCAAACTGTGTGTTACAGCGGAATTTCAGTTGTAAAATTCTCAAAAAGTATGTTTTTGTTAATTTATACGCTAGAGAAATTATATATATATATATATATATATATACGCATATATATATATATATATATATCTGGTCTGATCTAGTTTGTGGAATATATATATTAGTCATAAGATGAGCAGTTATAAACATACCATACATACGCAATTGCTATTATGTTACTTTCCATACACATTACTAATATATATATTGGTCTTTCCTTAACTGTTATAAACATATACT